CTATTCAGAGTGATATGATCTATCTTCAAACTGTTCAGTTTCAACAATCACTCCTACTTTTCCATAACCACCTAACTTGCAACAATTGTTCATTTCTATGTTGGTACACCTCAATCCTTCTCTCATTTTATGTTATATAAGTATATCTGTCCTATTCTCCTGCGTTTCTTAATGGCGTATTTAAACAAGTATGCAGAGTATTCAGCTGACAAGTTCTACTGAAATCTACAAACTTACCAATTCCTCCTTCCGTCATATATGTTACTCAACTTGTATTGTTTAACAAGTGACAAATCAACACAGAGTGTTTTTCTGTCAATGAATCCTTTCCAAAAGTTGCGCAATCGTACTTACAGTTCCAACAAATAGCCAATGGGTAAATACAAGGTCACCAGAAATAGCCAATCAAGTCGCAAGATGATTACGCCCAGAAGGTTAACACAAGGTCATTAAAAGTTGCTCATAGGATTAACAGTGTAACGGTTGAAAACTGATCATTACAAGGTGATTAGATAATAATCTACGGAGTAAAAGAACATGCATTTTGGAGGTTTCTGGGGATTTGTTTACTGATTTCAGGCTGAATTGACATCAGTTGGAGAACCATCGAAAAACTAAGCGCACCAGACAGCGGTTTTGTCCTAGTTCTCCAAGGATTGAACCTAGGACCTTCAGGTCGCGTGGCCATAGGACTGGAAGTCAGTAGTCCATATTTCTTACTTCTGTCCGATCACGATATAACGCGATAATCATCTAACGCCATCGTTGAGTAATTGTCTTCATTTCCGACTTGGATGGCCCCACTGGTCACTACTTCTCATTAGAACTTCGAGAAACACCTTTCGAAGCTATTCATCAATGAGCACTAGACTAATTCAATTTCAAGGTTTGTGGGGATTAATTGATTGATTCAAGGTTGGTGTTAATCATGCAAGGAACATGGACGGGAAGTGGGAAGTTCTAGTAAAATCAACATTTATGAATTGAGGAAAGGGGATGAAAATTATAATGTTAATGAATAAAATGAAATGAAAAAATAATTTCTCAGGGAGTTTATGACTAATGTAAAATTAGAGATTGGACATACATCTACTGAAAGCAGAGATAAGGTTTGAACCAATGAATTGTAAAGGTGAATATGGACTCCCTTCGAAGTGCTTGATTTGACTTTATAATTGACTCTGAGAGAAGATTATTGTGGAGCATAATGACCACAGTTAACTATATGCTCAAGAATCGAGTTGTTAATCTCTTTGTAATCTGTTTTAGATGATCATGAGGCATATTGTTCAGAGATGTGTTTATGAAGCCAATGTGTTTAGCTCCACAAGAGTAGGTGAACCGGTAAACATATATGAAGGTGGCTCATCCTTTACAATTTGAAGGTGGGCAGAAAACGAAGTTTTATTTTGTGCCTTACACACTGGATTCTTCAGTACCTTTCACAATGTACCTTTCTTGTACTCAGTATTCATAAACAATGTCTTCTTTAGAAGCGTAGGGGCTTCTTGTTTGAAACTCTTAGGATTTATATTGCTCTCAGTAAATCTTGAAGAATAACTATTATCGATAAATTCCTTTCTTAATATTTCCAGCTTCTTACTTACTGTATCATCAGTAAAAATTCTACTTATTCTTATATACAGTGAATGCATTAGGTTTCTTTTCTTGCCTAGTGAAACCGAACTTTGAAAAATGGTATTTCCTTCATTCCAGTTTTGTTTACTATAGATGCGTCTTTTTAGGGGAACTATCATGTCCTCTTTTCAGTGGAACATCCAGGAAATGGAATTTTGAGTTATTTTCAGTTTTCATGTCAAATTTAATTGACTTATGATATTCATTGAACTTTCATATCTTCAAGGTAACTATTGTTCTTATAGAGGATGAAAGTGTCATCCACATATCTTATGTATAGATGGAACTGGTCAATCAACTGAAGCAGTTTAATGTTCTCCACACTAGTCATAAATCAATGAGCTAAGAGAGAACACAATGGTAATCACAGGGTTCATTAACAAATCTGAATTGTAAATAGAAGCATATCAGCTTCATGTGACTGTTTCCAAGTGTTAGTATCTTTAACAAAACGTGAACTCATCGCCCATCAATTCAAATGGTGGGTCAAATCTTGTGTGTCATTGCCAAAACTTAAACTATCTTGCTGTTGCTTATGAGGAGTGCAACGAAAACCCGGTTCTTGTGTTCTATTTATGAACAATGTATAAAAAATAAATGCTGTTATGAATGGTAATGTAATGGGATCCAGATCAGTATCTTATATGGTACCTCATAATAATCACTTTCGTCCTATATATCAGTAACAAGAGATTTCAAGCTTTTGCACTAACTCTGAAGACTTGATCGAAATGATTTTTCTTTCAGCTTAACTTTCTCTTGTGTCTCTGTTCAGAACTTCAAATTCATAAAACTTACCCAGTACGCTTTGATTCTAGGACTGAGAGAGATAATCATCAACCACTTTTACGCCTTTCTCATGCCGGATACGATTAAGTTTAACAAACAATTTAATGTAGGTAGCAAATAGCTGTAACAGAACAAAGGTATTTGAAGTTTTCCTCAACTACAAGTACAAATAAGACAACATTAGACTGCTTTCACTTGCTTTCAGGGGTTTGTATGTATTTCCATACATAAAACCAGTAAAATCACTTTAACATGGTTCTACACTCAACAGCATTTTCCTTCATTAGAAATATCACTGCGAACATCTAGGTGTTCCCTGAATTCAGTTTTAGGGTTAGCGGGGGCTTAATGACTTCAAGTTGGTATACATCACGAACTGACATCATCTGGAGGAACACTGGAAATTTGGGAGCACTGGACAGCTGTCTCTTCCTGGTATAGGACTCCTCAACAGTGCACATCAATGAGACCGTCAGGGGTCGAGCCCAAGATCTTCAACTGGTATCACTCCTTGATGAATACCAACTTGAAGCAAATCCCCACAAACCTCCAAACTGAATTAATCTAGTGTCCAAGAGGTGATTCCCGAAGTTCAAACGAGAAAGTGTGACAGGTGGGGCGAACCTGGTGGAAGTGAGGATGAATGCTCAACGATGACATTGGGTGTTAGTTGTGCTATGTCGTGAACTAACAGAAGTTGGAAATATGGACCACTAGAATCCTACCCAGTGACTTGATGGTAACGTGCTGGTCACGGGACTTCAAGTTCCTTAGTTCAATCCCTAGTGGAGTGGGGTCATGGTTGCTCACCTCTAGGGAGTCCTATACTAGACGAAACAGCTAGTGTCTAGTGCTCCCAGGTTTCTAATATTCCTCCAACTGATGTCAATCCATAATGTTCCGTGAATGTGAAAAGAAAGCTCTTAATATCTTTCCTACAACAGTAGGATGTTAGGGAGAACTTTTCATAACTTTTTATCAAGTGGTGTAGTATCTCTGCTGGATAGTGGATCCAACAAAATTAAGTAAGATTGCTACACAGAACAGACTGTCAGAATTAAAAGAATGTTATAGGTATGGTTTCAATAGAATTTTAACTCTGAATACGACATCTATGCATATGAGACATCTATTCATTATCATAATTTTAAGTTTCAATGAACCTGTGATGAGTCAATGGACAGTAATAATACAAATACACAAAACCAGACTGAAAATTCATTTGACCAATAACAAAAGAAGTGACTATCGAGGCTGGATGGCTCAGAGGATAACGTTTGAAGTGATTGTCTCTAGGTTTAAATCTCAGTGGGACCAACATCATTCACTGGAATTCAGATAATATAGAACTGACGAGTCTGTAATTGAACTCCACTGATAGCTACTATCCATCAATAATATTAGAATGAATTTGTATACATTGAAATTTATTCTTCGAGATTACTAGTGATCAGTAACAAGAAACACACCATAAACTACTTACAAGTTACTTTCAAAAGTAGTTTAATTTCATTGCATCTTGTCCTTTTGTTATCTGTGATGAAAACATATCGAATATGCCATTTTAATGAAATTTCTATGCTAAGAATCAAGATATTTTAATGGTAGTTTATTGTAAATAATTAGTATGATCAAATTAGAAATTTTTCTGACCAACTCTATCTAACTTGTTTAAGCAAGAGGTGGATACATCTAGACCTTTACGGTAAGCCTTAAACAAGTTCACTAGTGTATACTAACCAAAGATTTCATCTACATGACTTTAAGTCGTCTCACAGCAGCTATTTCCATTTTTGATTCATTAATTTGTACTTCTTCAAGGCTATAAAGAATTGTCATTTAAACCATGTTTCAGTTCGGAGGTTTATTGGAACATATTTATTGATTTCCTTCGAATAAGACATGACATCAATGTATGATGTGTTTGACTGTTGATTTGAGCTGCGTGGGACGATGTAGACTAGCCGGTTAGGGTCCGTGGGACAAGAGAAACTAGTGGTTGGAGACTTTAGGTGATATGGTTCAGAACCGATGTCAGTGGCCCAGATGTATACATACATTATCCTCATCCTAACCACTATACGCTATACCGAATCTCACCACTTTCTCATCCTTCCTTTCTCTCTTTTCATACTTTATATTTCTTTTGACTGCCTTCGCTTAACTTCATCTTGCACGTTACTACCTTTTTACTTGATGTACTGATATGAGGTGTAGCAAATCAGACCGTTATGCAGTAATGCCTGGTCCTTGGTTGATTTGGATGGATGAATGGATATTCAATAGCTGTTTAATCGTTCTAAAGTACTATTCAGCAGTGCATACACAACTAAAAATCAGTGAATGAATCCTTATAAACATAGAATATCCATTAAACCACATTATTTACATTCCACTTAAAGTTTCTTTTCAACATTACCTAAATATATTTGGTGCATGATTAATAATGTGTGAGAGAAGAAAAAGAATAAGCACAATTTTCATATTTCTGTCGTATGTATTGGTCGATAGTGAATTGAATGAGGTCTATATATATATTCATCATTGTCCTATGTAATGAAGGTGTTTAAAATGTTACCATAAACATTAATGACCATATGTCCTGGTTGCCATCTCAACACTATATATATATATATATGAAGTTATTATTATATATACATATCTATCTATGTATAAGTAACTTCATTATATAACATGTATATTACTAAAGCCACTCACTGCTTATCAATATTGTAAGGATCCACCTAAGAAAACTAAAATTTCATACAAAATGTTAACACGTTCACCTGATGACTTTGAACACTTTTATAATATACCATCTTATTCAATATTCACAAAAACACCGAATGTATCACCAGCTAATTCTTTTATCCAACAACATTATCATTGTAATGAAGAACAACAATGCAGTCATACTACTGAAATTCGAAATAGAATTCGACAAAACAAATCATTTAGTCGAACAAATAAAATGCCTTACAAGTTACTCCCAGATCGTTGGTCATTAAAGAGTACTGTAAGTATTTTGTTTGTTGGTTTGTTTACCTGTTAACTTTTTTTAAGCAAAGTTTACGTTTTCCCCTATCAGTTGGACAATTCTATTGGTAGTTGAAGTGAAATAATAATCTGGTCAGTGGTCGGATCTTGTAGTTCAGTTGGTAGAGCAATGAGCCGGAAATCTGGTGGTCGTTGGTTAGAATCTGGCAGTGATCCAAATTTTCACTTCACCTTCAACTGTCATTCAATAGTACCAATACTAATCTGCCAAACCATGGGGCTATCTCAAATAATCAAAATGATAATGTTATAAGTACCAGAAGTACATTACTTTTTTTCAGAAATGCAAAACTTCCCATTTAGACATTTAGTAAAACAAACAGTGTGAGTGAAGAAATATTTCTTCTCAATTATTAGTTCCTCATCAATGAATAGCTCTACACTAATATAGCATTTTCAAAAGTAATATTATTACATACCAATCTACTGGTGAGACTTGTTCAATGAAAGCTTATCAATCTCAAAGTATCAAGAAGCTGATAATTGATGAGGTAATTAAGACGATTAACTAAAGCATAGAGTAATTATCGTAGAAAGATTTTGTGAACAGGTTCTTACACAACTGATATTTTGTATAATGGTGAGTAAAGAGCGAAAATGGACTGTTATGTAAAATGGCAAAATGTTGACAGTAATTAGAGACAGTAGGGGGAGAGGAAGATGGCTAAATCTGTGTTAACAATAATAATAATAATAATAATAATAATAATAATAATAATAATAATAATAATAATAATAATGGAACTATTGAAATATTAGTTATAGTCAGTTGTGTGGTGAATGAAATGAAGAATCTTGTTATAATAAATGAGCTATACAGATGGCCAAGGCAAAGAAAGAGGCTGAACGAATCTCTTGTGAACACACAGACTTGGCTTGTTTAGTTGGATTCCTATGGCTTCTGCTGTATGTAAAAGATGAACTCATGGAGCGTGTATGAGGTTAGAAAGAATGTGATAAATAACTTTAAAGGCATTATGAATGTTAACTCGGTTGCAGGTGTCAATCAGATGAGAGAGTATTGAGCTTCGTATCGATCTGGTTTCCCCCTTACTTAGCCATGAAGGGCGATGCTCAGCGATTCGACAATGGACTTGCCTAACTGTACGTCGAATGTAACTAGCTCCAAAGAAGCATTTGAACTGGTAAATGCACATAGAAGAGGAGAAGTCAGGTAGTCTGTCTTTATTATTATTACAGATTTGGTCACCTTCCTCTCCCCCTACTGTCTCTAATTACCGTCAACATTTTGCCATTTTACATAACAGTCCATTTTCGCTCTTTACTCACCATTATACAAAATATCAGTTGTGTAAGAACCTGTTCACAAAATCTTTCTACGATAATTACTCTATGCTTTAGTTAATTGTCTTAATTACCTGATAAATTATCAGCTTCTTGATACTTTGAGATTGATAAGCTTTCATTGAACAAGTCTCACCAGTAGATTGGTATGTAATAATATTACTTTTGAAAATGCTATATTAGTGTAGAGCTATTCATTGATGAGGAACTAATAATTGAGAAGAAATATTTCTTCACTCACATTGTTTGTACTACTTTTTTTAGTAAATGTTTTCAGGATGGTTATGTACTGATCATGTGTATTGAGGGATTTCGATCTGCCTGTCATTAATTTTGTAGGACGCCTATTGACAGTCATAGATTAGAAAGCTATACAGTAGCCTCTGTGAGTGTCCGTTGATTCTGGTGTATAATCACAAATTTGATGCCAGTTTGGTATTTGTCACGGAATGACATCATCCGAAGAACCACTGAAAACCCTGGAGTACTGGACAGACGTTTTGTTCTAGTATATGACTCTTCAGCAGTGCCCACCTATGGCCTCGCCAGCTATCGTGACAAAGACTTCCAGGTTGTGTGACCAGCCACTGGAATGGAGTTCCTAAGTTTTTCAGTTCACGATATAGCCCCATCAACATGGAATCCATGAAATCTCTACAAAGCTCCGAACTGAATTCAAAGTCTAATTGTCGAGTTTGGCAGTTACATTTTGTCCATTTAGAGGACACCAAAAGTGATTCATCACTCATCGAATCGACTGGAAAATATCAGAAAGTAAAGATTGAAAAAGTAAGATAAATAAAACAATATGGCATAATCCCACTTGAAGGTAGTTAAATAAACATTCTGGGTGGTAAAAAAAGGTTGAACGTCAGTCAGATGAAACGCGAACAAAACAATAGGGGTGACCGTTGTACATTTCAGAATAAAAATGCTGTAATACAACAATGTTAAGACGAATTTATATCAGAGAAGGCATGGGTATTGTGGTAGATTGTAATCTCATTTCAGTTGATTTATTAAATGTGTCACACAGTGAAACAGTTGTGTTATTTACTGGACTGCATTTAAGAAGCAATTTATTGTCCATAATCATATCAAGATAACTCTACAGATTGGAAACATGGTTTATACAATTCTAACTGTTGTACATCGTCTGTGATGTAGGTGGTGGGGTTTTCCATACATCTTGTAAAGGTGTTCAGCTATTCCTAATGCATATATTTGAAGTTGATTCGATAAAGAAAGATTTGGTTATCAATCACTCCCTCTACCGAAATAAATTACTTTTCGATAGCTTAAATAAAAGATAAAGTTTATCTGAACAATACACTTCGAACTAACTGATTCCCCACACATTTACTTGTCGCTAGTCAATACATATTAAATCGAAGACTGGGAGGAACAAACACAACAAGTAAAACAATAGGAGATTAAAATTAAGGAAAGTGAGAGCAATACAGAAGAGTGACGTGGTTGATCCTAATCGTGGAAAAGAAACAAAGTTTACCAAGTTGGGTGTAGTGAAGTAAGAACAAATTGTTTTGTACACATGAAGGTGGTCTCAATTTGTGTATGGTTATGGCTTCCACAAATCTCAGAATACGTCCCTGACTGACTGTTTCTGTATAAAACTTCGAAAGCTGTTTGAACATTAGGCATTTTGTGATGTGTTTATATGATGGGATGAAGAGGGTTGTCTAACATCAGCGTTTATCACTGTTTCACACTCCATTTGTTTTTGAAGCCATTTAGGCGCATGTTATCCCACTCTCAACTGCATGGCTGGATTACTCCTCCCTATGTATGTGTGATCACACACGCATGTAAATTGGTTAAGCACAGTGGGATATGACGTAATCATTGATGGGGTGTTTAAGTTTCCGGTGAAGTATGTTTTTCTGTTTCCACAATTGTAAGATTCGCCGCGTTATATGTTTTCTGAATGGCTGACGTCAGCCTACATCTCAAAATGATGCGATTCAACTCCCCTCTATTTGCTAGAGTCACATGGACGCTTTTCTTAGGAACCGTATATAGAATTGGCTTTGGTGCTACCTGTACCAGTTTATAAACTTCAACGGATATCCGTTTCCATAAAATTTTTAAGCAGCTAATCCTACTGAAGTGGAAAAATGAAACACACTTCATCACAAACCTAAACACTCCATCAATGATTTCGTCAAATCCCTTCTATATTGACCAGTTTATGTATGTGCATAGTCATATATATACAGAGAGGGGTAATCGAGCCATGCAGTTGAGAGTGGGATAACATGCGCCTAAATGGCTTCAAAAACAAATGGAGTGTGAAACAGTGATAAACGCTGATGTTAGACAACCCTCTTCATCCCATCATATAAACACATCACAAAATGCCTAATGTTCAAACAGCTTTCGAAGTTTTATACAGAAACAGTCAGTCAGGGACGTATTCTGAGATTTGTGGAAGCCATAACCATATACAAATTGAGACCACCTTCATGTGTACAAAACAATTTGTTCTTACTTCACTACACCCAACTTGGTAAACTTTGTTTCTTTTCCACGATTAGGATCAACCACGTCACTCTTCTGTATTGCCCTCACTTTCCTTAATTTTAATCTCCTATTGTTTTACTTGTTGTGTTTGTTCCTCCCAGTCTTCGATTTAATATGTATTGACTAGCGACAAGTAAATGTGTGGGGAATCAGCTAGTTCGAAGTGGACCAAATGTTTTAAATTACTTTTGAGCATTGTCGTTCTATCCCACCCTATTGTATGGCTATGAGTAATTGTATGCATATCCATAGCCGAGCTTTCCTATTGATTCCTTACTTTACTAGGGTTGACAATTTACTATTCTACTCATTGTAAAAGTGATACATATGTTCAGTCAAACACAACTGTTAATGCTTACTTCAGCTCATGCTTAAATTCAATCATTTAGCTACGAAAATGAGACGGATGCAAAGAGGAAAATGATTGTCATCTTGATACTTATCATTTCGCGTTGCAGTAGAGGGCTGAATTTAACGATCTCTGTTGGATAATGAGTTCCTATGTGAATGCTGCCCAGTATTTATGATTTTATATTGATCTTGGTGACTAGAAGAGGAGTCTAGGACGTGCCTTTCGTCCTGCTTAAGACTCGTCAGTTGGATGTACTTACACCACAGTGCAGATTGATGTTGTTCTCACTGAACCTCGACCCGACCACCCATCGCTTCAAAAGCCAAAGCATTATCCACTACACCCGAGTGGCCTATCAGATGTAGGGACATCTAGGTGACGAGTCCCAAATAGGACGAAACTCTCATCCTGGATCTCACTGTTACTCATCAAGATAAAAATAACAAAATAACTCGTTGTTTACAAGGAATTGTCTACTGTGCTGCAGATAAGGAAGTTTCAGTTCTTAAGACCATCCGTAGGAGATCAGTTGCCTCGATAGGCATCTGTGTATATATGCACAATAGGTAAGTTTATGAACAGCCATTGACTCAACACAAAGAAACTGAACTGTCAGTATCTAACAGAAGGTAGTATCAAAACAACCAGTTACTGTTGTTCGTAAGAGATGTAAGTCCATCAGTACTGTTTTAGTTTCCCATTAAAATGGTAAGCATGCATGCATGCACTTAAAAATTGCCAACATATGACATCCCTTAGTT